AAGAAAGAAAGAAAGAAAGAAAGAAAGAAAGAAAGAAAGAAAGAAAGGAAGGAAGGAAGAAAGGAAGGAAGAAAGAGAGAGAGAGAGAGAGAGAGAAAGAGAGGGAGGGAGGGAGGGAGGGAGGAAGAAAGAAAGGAAGGAAGAAAGAAAGAAAGGAGGGGAGGAGGGAGGGAGGGAGAGAGAGAAAGAGAGAAAGAAAGAAAGAAAGAAAGAAAGAAAGAAAGAAAGAAAGAAAGAAAGAAAGAAAGAAAGATAGATTACTTTAAAAGGTATTTCTGAAGGGCACTAAGTTCTAAGGAAGAGGGCTTAAAGGAAGAGGGCTGGCTTCTGGTTTCATCATGGCCACAAACCAGGTCCTCCCTTTGGGCCTCGCAAAGGAGATGAGACTAGATCTCTTGCATTATCCACTCCTAACCTTTAGTGATTTTATGTTCTCCAATCTTGCTCACAGTACACCCCATTTCCTTCCTGAGAGGCAGTTAGGCCCATGGCCAAGGCCCTGTTCCTCAAGCAGTCATTAGTCCTGACCTTGGCAATCACCTGGTCTCTCTGAGCTTCCAATAGCCAGTCATCTGTGGGGAGGTTAGACATGCCTGGCCACCCTCATAAAGGAGTTTTAAAGGCCATACAATTTTACAAAAAGTGAGTTCTTCCAAGGAAGGTCCTACTCACATGAGATATTTCAATGTTCTGTAATTGTTCCTGTAACATCTAGGAACTGTGAGACATGAGGAGGAGATAATAGGATGCGTTGTGTTCATAGTCAAGGTGGAAAGCGGCCTGAGGATCCATCTAGGGACCCACTTCATGTATAAATGAAGATGTGGAAGCCAAGAGAGAGCTCAGCACTGAGAGAACTCACGTAAACCTACCATAAGGGTGTTAGGACCCAGGGCGTGCTACCTCCTAGCCCTGTGTTCTCTCTACAGCATCAGAACAGATCTTGGTTTTCAAAACCTTCAGTGATACCTTCTGGGAATAAGACATGTATATAGGGTTCACTCTGACCCAGCAGAGAACAATTGCCCCACAGAATCATTCTGTAGAGACAGAATGTAAACGCTGGTCAGGTAAAACACCTGACAATCAGATGATCCTCAAATATTGTAGCATCCAATTCCACGTAGTCAACTTTGAGATACCCTGATGGCCCATTGGGATAAGGGGTAGTAGAGAAACCCCAACCTGCCTTCAAAGGACACTCTGGCTACTTTTCTGTCCAGTCAGCTTCCCTATTACAGCAGCCAGAAGTATTCCACCCAAAAGAAAACCTGTGACAGCTCTCAGATGTGACTCGCCATCTTTCCATTATTTCTTCATCTTTATTGTCACTGTCACTGCTGACTAATAGATGTGTGATCTCTAATTCTTCCCATCAGGACTTTTACCTCCATTTCATTTATTTCTTTAGCAAATAGTAATTAGCTAATTATTTGTAGGCACCAGAGAGCCAGAGGGGATTTAGGATTTCAGGAGCATCCTGTAAGAGTTTAATATTTCTTTCCTGGAAGTGTGTACAAAGCTTTCAGGCACGTGGAAATGTACTCTTCTAGAGTCCTTAACTTTTATCAAACCCGTTACTCTCAAACTGTTAATAACCACCATCAGGGTGCATATCAGAACCTAGCTTCTTGACTCTACAGCCCTGGTCACATCTGCTATCTGCTTTCTTCCTGTTGGTCCAAGAATATGGGAGCTGGCCAGGTGTGAACGAATGAGGTGTCTAAGGTCAGACTTCTAGAATTTCCTATAGAAGCACAGGAAGCTAGCTGTGCCTGCCTTCCCCCACCCCAAATCCATGCACCACTTCTGTGGTTCTGCTTCAGGCATTTGCATCCTGGTATACATTGTGTTTTTGGACTTCTGTGAGCTTAAAGAGGCCACAGCTGGGATACATCAGCAGACTGTTCCATGCTGAGCTACTCGTGGCCTTTAAAGATTCTAAGAGATCCTCCCACCATGTTCACCACCGACCTCCATGCTGTTCCTATGCTGGAGAATTCATTCTAAGAGCTCTGCCCTGCCCACTGCCCCAGGAGACCTGAGTTGCCGTCTGGGGCTCATGTTGGTTTTGTGGTTGATCCACTGTGTCAGGTGACATCTGCTACTCCCGTGGAAGTGGTTTTGCAGAAGGATAGAAATACCTCCCCCGAGAATCCTGGCGTTAGCTTAGCATGCCATTTGATACAGAAGTCCCGACTGCAGTCATTGTAAGTTGGCACTGAAGCCAACATCAGAGCAAACGTCAGAGGCTGTGGAGGTGCTGACCCTGCCAGCAGAGGCCTGCTTTGTGCTTGTGGTATTCACGAGTGTGTGTGAACATGGGACACACTGGCCATGGATGCTGTGCTGAATTCTGTTCTTTCTCCCCTGTAGAGAGAAGACACAGTTCAATGTGCAGGCCTTCTCCCTCTCCAGCGTCTCCAGCCTCCAATTCCCGGACAACACTAGCACAGGCAAAGACAAAAGCCTGTCTCAGCGGCCATAACGCTGTCAGCAGCACCTCAAAGCCATTTAAAACGCCCAAAGACAATCTATTTACCTCCAGCAGCACACAGCACACAGTCTTCTCTGCAAAGGGACCAAGGGATAAACCATGGTGAGTCCAGGTGCTGGGCAGCTGAGACTCTCTCTCTGCCCTCTCCACTCCGGCATTGACTCTGGGTGCCATGTGCAGAAATCTGGGGGTACTGAGGCAGGAACCCAAAATGATGGCATGAGGAGGCCAGCTACTAGTCCCTAGTAACTAGAGGGAGCACAGGACCTTAAAAGTGCTGTATGTCTCTACGAAGAATGGGTGTGTCCATTTGAGAACCGAGCTGTATGTGTCTAAGGAAAAGAAAACAGCGAAAGACTTCTCAGTTATGTGTTTGCCTCTCAATATTCTGCCCCAATGAAGAGAAACACAGGTATAAGCAATCAAGGCACAGACTGTTAGTCCACAGTGGGAGAAGAGATGGGAGGAAGCCATGATGGTGTCCCAGCCCTGGAATCACTCTCCCTCCCCCACAGGGCCTCTGCTCCCCATCCCCTCCCCAAGGACACTGGGTATCTTATACCTAACCATAGGGCAGAAAGAAAGAAAAAGTCACTCCTTTGATGGGGAGTCTTTACCAAAAAAGACACAAAAGGTTCCCTGTGGGCCAGACAAATAGGAAGCCATACTGAGAATAGGAGGGACTTGGAACTAGCATGTCACAGCTCCATCTTCCCGGCCTCCTGAAGACAGAGAAGGGACAAATGCAGAGTGTGTCTAATTTATATGTTTAAAGAGAAATGGTGTTCATTAATTAATGGTAGTTAATTGCACTTAACGTCCTACCCGGGAAGGCTGTGGAATAATACAATCACCCATCAATGGGGCAGGCACTGTGCGCTGGAAATTATGACTTGTAAAGAGCTAATTATGCCAGATCAATGAAAGAGCCTCAGGTGACAGTGGGAGAGGTCGGAACAGGGACTTGGCTGCCAGCAGCTCTGCTTTGCACACTAGCTGCATTCTCTGTAGGCCACTGGAGCGTAAATCTATCTTGTGTGATGGTAGAGTTGCTTTAGGAGAGCCCGGGTCTCTTGGAGAGAGTGACCTCTGATCAGCTTGTAGCAGTACAGACCCCCACCCCCAGGCCCTCCTCTCAATGTCCCCCAGAGAGCCAAGGGCTTGACTGATGAGGAATTATTCCCCATGGACAAGTCTCTTTGCTGCGTGACCTTGGGCAAGTCTTTTGATCTTACTGTGCCTTGGTTTGCTGTACTGTAAAATGGATCTAGTCATAGACTAGCTCTTTTCCATGGGATGTTGTGAGGATCCAGTAGCTCCTTTGTATGACAGCAAGTACAATACATGGGTCAGAGTACATGCACAACACATGTTTAAGGATAAGTACCATTATCATTACACTTTCATCTCTGCCGAGACCTCAGAGCCTGGGACCAAGAGTGAGGAGTTCACCCAGCTGGGACATCCATCATAGAGAAGTGGCTCTTCAGAGATAGGCATGGTGGTGTAGATGTATGATCCCAGCATTTAGGGGGCTGAAGCTGGAGGAATACTTGGGGTCTAAGGGCTAGACTGTGTAGTGAGACTCCGTGTGAAAAATAAAAAGCCACAGATTCAGGGGAAACCATGGAAATGGAAAATGGTGAAATAATTTATTCAGGCCGAGAGGTGTTGCTTGGCTGTAAAGCATTTACCTAGCATGAGTGAGGTCTCCAGCACTAGAGAAGCAAATAGAGTCTGGAAACGACCTACAGACAAATGTACGGAAGGCGAGTACCCCCCAAGTGAGGATATTATAAAGTGAGCTTACCTTATGAAAGGGCAGCTGAGGGGTCGCATGGTCTCCTAGCACTCCGTTCTCCCAAGAGGCCACTGTTAGGGGAAACTGCTGAGTTAGATCAAGTTTCTGAACTCCGCAGAGTCAACCCTCTCCTCACACTAAGACCCACCGTGAGCAAGGCGCCTTCAGCTAAAGTGCTGTTTGAAACAACTGGTGAGATGTGTTACTGGGAGGAGCAGAACTGACAGCTTCAGTGCACCACAGTTAGACTAGCTCACATGGCTCGAGCTGTGCAGTCTGCAAACTCCACGTGGCCATCCTATACATGGGACAGGCTGCAAACCCAGCAACTTCTTAGTCCGTGTGGAGGGATTCCACAGCAGCACTTGTCTAGCACCTACCGAAGACCTGAAGAGTTCACTGAGAGCCGCTGATCTTTAGTTCTCACTGGAAAGCAGAAGAAACTGGTTCCTGTGTCCATGGACAATGACAACCACAGTGGTGGCAATAAAGTAGATGCACTCACCAGCAGGGGGCGATGGTGGGCAGGTGGACCAAGGGTTTATGAGCGGTCTATCTGGGGAACATCTTGAGTCAAGAAAATCGAATCAAAGCCAGGCTCTGCCATGGACTTTCTGTGTGTCCTTAAGGCAGTCACCCCTTGTCCCATTTTAAGCCTGAATTCTAAATCACAGTCGCTTCAAGTGCCCCATTACCTACTAAATAAGAGGGAGCAGTTTACTCAGTGGGCCACCTCCCAACCCCATAAGTAGGTGTATTAAATGTGTGTTGGGAACTGGAGAGATTAGCTCATCAGTTAAAAACACTTGACTTCTTTCCCAGAGGACCTGGATTCAATTCCCAGCACCCACATACATAGTAGCTAACAATTATCTGCAATTCCAGAACTTTGAATTCCAGCCTCTTCTGGCTTCTGAGGGTGCCAGGCACACACATGGTACACAAATATACATGCAGGCAAAACACCCACCCACATAAAATAATATTTACAAACAAATTTTAAAACTGCATATTGGCTTTCTGAACTTTCTACATACTTATGTAGCCAACTGAAAATTGCATTACGCCGGGCGGTGGTGGCGCACGCCTTTAATCCCAGCACTTGGGAGGCAGAGGCAGGTGGATTTCTGAGTTCGAGAGTTCGAGGTTAGCCTGGTCTACAGAGTGAGTTCCAGGACAGCCAGGGCTACACAGAGAAACCCTGTCTCGAAAAACGAAACAAACAAACAAACAAACAAAATTGCATTACCCCATGATAAACTGAGGAGTGGCTGAAGTGTGACCTCATCTGGTAGGGCTTTTTTTTTTTTTTTGAGTCATCTGCCTGGGTTGGATGCCATTCTCCTGTGCCTTCTCCTATCCTATCACATTTAACTTTGGATTCCCAAGGCTATACCTTAGAGTTGCTCAGGTTGTGTACCAGGGGATGAAGACTGTCAGTCCATTGTGTAGACTGCAGGCATTTTTTTTTTTAACTTGCACAAAGCTCTTTGTAGATCAGTTTCCATTGGGCTAAGGAGAGAGAGAGAGAGAGAGAGAGAGAGAGAGAGAGAGAGAGAGAGAG